GTCGAAAGACGTCCTCAAAATCCAAAACAGGCAAAATCTCGAAATCCAACAACTTTGCAACCTGCGTTTCATTTTTATTTTTCTACCAGCGCCCAAAACCCGCTTCGCGGGCCTTGGGCGCTGGAATTGGGTCTTTGCATGAAAATTTTGACTTTCTAATAGCTCGGGTCCTGCGGACCCCCCCCCCGCCCCGACCACACGCGCGAGTGCAACTGGCAAGAATGAGGAAATTTGTATTTTTCGTGTTATGCAAATTAGCCCTCCCGGACTTCCAAAAATCAATAAAACCGGCCTTAACTTTGTAAACTTGTATTTTATCGAAATTCTGAACACGCGATCGGAAACAGAAGGGTCGGTTCCCCCCGGGTGACGGAGAATTGGGGCGTTTTTGACACGGGAAGGCCCTCAAATCGGGCCTCGAAAGTGACATCCACACACACACACACACACACACACACAGTTACACTCCAAAATTATATAAGGTAGGATAACTTTCTTTCAATGCCAGATTTTGAGGTGAATTTAAAAATTGTAGTATTTTCTCTATGCACGATCAAAACGAGTTAAAGTCCCAAAATTAAAGCGAAAATCTAAAAAGCCCTGCGAAGTGGATTCTGCACGTTAATTTACATACCATATTTGCATCTCTGCTCGTTTTTTCCCGGTTCGCGTGAAATTGTTGTTCTTCCTGATCGACCACGAGTTCTGCCTCGGCGGTCGTCTCCTTGCCCCCCGAAGATCGTCACATCCGATTTTCGTGCCTCGTCCGACGATGAGATCGGTAGTCACTATCAGCTATCGCTCAAAAGTTCGGCGTTCAGGTTGCCACTTCTCCCATCAGGCAACACGTCGGTGATTCGGCCGAGCTGTACGTGTTGCAGTCGATGAAGGTACTAATTTGATATTTGTAATTCCGCTCACCAATGGTCCAATTTCCCGATACTGGACTATTTGCGGGGGGGGGAAGGTTTTTAAAATGTTGAAAATGCGAAAATTTTTGACCTTTTTTGATCATTTTCCATGCATTTTCGACCAAAAAGTCAAAGACATTTCTGTACGCCCTGTCGACGAAATATCGACCATTTTATTGCATTTTACACGGTTTTTTAAAAAAAAGCCGATTATAAGGTTATGAATATTTTCGAAAATTGCTGACTGTAGCCAAAAATGCATGAAAAATTGTCAAAAGGAGGCATTTTGGAACTTTCTAAATTTTCTAATTATTCTTTTCCAGCAATCAAAAACTACCAAAACAACTAGAAAAGCACGCCATAGATCATCAACAGGCGGAAAAAATTAGCTTTCCATGCCAAGCCTAAGCCCCCCCCCCCGTTAACAGTCCAGCACCTCTTGTATTCCAGCGACCGCCCGGCAACCTACTGGCTTTTGGCGCGTACACCCAGCTTCCTCCCCGCGTCTGGAGGATGATGATGGAGAGCTGGACGCCGATCGATCTGCTCAACTTGGCCGCTGCTGCTCCCCCTATTCAAGGTGCGCAACGTTGGGTTCGCCCCGCCCGCTTTACAGCCATAAGTCCTATTAATGCGCCGAGTACTTGAAAATGGTCGCCATTCCTGACACTCCATGACCAAGTTGTTTTCTTACGTCAATAATTTCGAAAAGATTTATGACAATTCTAAGCCTGGGTTACTTTAGTTCCCTTTGCCGGTCCAAATTTAGTCTCTGTATATCGACCCTTCTTGAACGCACAGAGCTAGCACGGGCGCCAAAATGTACCCATTCAAACTTAGAGTAAAAACAGAGTACCTTTGATTTGCAAAACGCAAAAAAATGAAATATTCGGGTTAGAAACACCGGGTAAGCTGATGCTTATCGCCGATTCATTACAACTTTCAAAAAACCCGTAAAAGAATTTTTGATGTATGAAAACAACCTGGACATAGAGTTTCGACCATGGGAAACATTTTCAGATCTTCTGGTGCATAAAACTTGGCTTAAGTGTAGTTTACCCCCCCCCCCCAGCCGGCACCCAGCTACCGTATCTCGGTTCCCTGTTCATCTACAGGTGTGTAAAACATACCAAAATACTCGCCAGTGCAAGATGAACATTTTGGTATACTTCACACCTGTAGATGAACCGGGAGCCGAGATACAAAAGTTGGGGAGGGTTGGGAGTTATCTGGGGTCTTACCCTACGATTACTTAAAAAAATCTTTTCAGATGCCGGACTTGGTGGGAACCGGAGATTCGCTACGTCTTCAAATATGGAGACTCCTACGCGTGAGCGTAATTTCATTGGCCTAATCGTTATTTAGTCACCACTGCCGAACGGCCGGCGACACCTACTCGACGCTCCAAGAACGGTGTTTTCACGTCGATCCAGACGAAGACCGAGACAAGCCGGCCCGTCGCGAGCTCCGCATCCTTTTGAACAATGCCGCCTTTGACCAAGTAAGAAGGGGTTCTTAGCCAGTGTCTAAGCCTAAGCCTAAGGCTAAGGCCTGAGCCGAAGCCTAACCCGAAGCCTAACCGAAGCCCAAGCTGAGCCTAAGCCTAAGCCTAATGTAAGCCCAAACCTAGGCAGCTAAGCCTAAGCTTACTAGGGAAGTGCAAATAAAAAACCCAGCAAACCGCTTAGCAAAAATATGGATCTGATAGAGTCGGCGACGGGGATTCCGAAACTGCAATCAGAATTTGCTAAACGCTTAATACAAAAAATTATGAGCATTTTAAGTTTTGCAGCACTGATTCCGTCCTCCTTTATGGGCCCCTCCCAAAGAGCGGTGTCTGTTGTCGAATCTGTCTAGTTAGTCGAATCTAGAACTGTCTAGAACTAGTTAGTGTCTAGAACTAGTTAGTCGAATTAGTAGAATCTGTCGAGTGGTGTGGTGGCTGCCTAGCCTGCCTCTGGGGCGGAGGGTCTCTGGTTTGACTCCCCGGTCATGCAAAACTTTTTGCTTTTTGGTCAAAGTCAACACGGTCTTTTCGACTCTGAAACTTTGAAAAAGTCGAAAGTTGTTGACTTTGACCAAGAAGCAAAAAGTTTGCATGACCGGGGAGTCAAACCAGCCGCCCCAGAGGCAGGCTAGTCAGCCACCACACCACTCGACAGGTGGACACCGCTCTTTGGGAGGGGCTCATAAAGGAGGACGGAATCAGTGCTGCAAAACTTAAAATGCTCATAACTTTGTTTGTATTAAGCGTTTAGCAAATTCTGATTGCAGTTTCGGAATCCCCGTCGCCGACGCTATCAGACCCATATTTTTGCTAAGCGGTTTGCTGGGTTTTTTTTTGCACTTCCCTAGTTAGGCCTAGAAAAATATAAAAGATAAAGGAACAAAAAACAGACTGACGGGAAACGCTAAATTCGGTTTAATCCCACCTTATATCCTACCATTCTATAATTTTGGGGGTGTATCTCTGTCGGTGCGTGTGTGTGGATGCCACTTTCGAGGCCCGATTTGCGGCCCTTCCCCGTGCATAAAATGCCCTAATTCTCGGTCACTTGGGGGAATTGACCCTCCTCTTACCGATCGCGTTTTCAGAATCCCGCTAAAATAAAAGTTTGTAAAGGTAAAGCCGGTTTTATTCATTTTTGGGGCCCAGTACGTCTCTTTTGCATAAAGCAAATGAAAAAACATGAAATTCCGCATTTTTGCCGGTTGCGCTCGCCTGCGTGCATACCTTGCGCTAATTCCATATGTTATACTCTTGCATACCCCCAGGGGGTATACCCCCATATCGAGTTTAAAAACCTTCAAAGAATTCCGAATTCATCTCCACCTACCAAAAACTTTTCAGGCCCCGTCCCGCCCCGCCCGCCGCCCCCTCCTCCGCCCCCGGGTGTTCTCAAGCCTGTTAAAGGGCAAGGTAAACTTAATTTTTAATTTTACCTGGTTTTCCTGCCTTTTGTACTGCGCGTAGTATAATATTACCCACATGGGTTCTTCCCCCTTTTTTCTTAGGACCTGATTTTTAACACATAGTGGAAGTGTTTCTAAATGGTTTTTTTACTATTCCTAAACATAAAAACTGTACAAACTGTACAACGTACAGCCAAAAATTCTTCAGGCCCCGCGCCGCCTGCCGCCCCGCCTGCCGCCCCGCCTGCCGCCCCGCCGGCCGCCCCGCCGGCCGCCCCCCTCTCCCGCCGACCTGGTCTTCACAAGCCTGTTAAATGGCACGGTAGATTAATTATTAATTTTACTAGGTTCTACTGTTTTTTTGTACTTCGCGTTGTATTACTCAAATGGGTTCTTCCCCATTACCGGGGGGGTTATCGGGGGACCGCTTTTTTATTAGGATCTAATTTTTCACTTATCAATAGTGGAAGGGTTTCTAAATGGTTTTTACCAGTCCTAGGCGTAAAAACTTTACCACTTTCTGTTAAAAACTATCAAAAATATCGATTTTCGATCGAAAATGACCGATTTTTTAACAAATTTAGGACTTTTTAAGTTTTTGGTAGATTTTTCTAGTTGAAATATAAGTTTATTTTATAAATACACTATTACAACACTTTCTGTTAAGTTGCCAGGCTTTTCTAGACTTATACAAAAAAGTTCGGTCCCTCCCCCCGATAATGCGACTGAATAAAACTGACTAAAAAATTTTCAGCATCTGAAAAAAATGTGGCTCGGATTTGGCTCGAACGTCTCGGAGCTGTCGATTCTACCGGACGTCCGCATGGCCGACATGGACGTCTACGTCTAGCTGGTCTGCTATAAAAGTGTGTGATATCTTCTGATTTGGTACTCGGCGGTTAGCGGGAGGGACGACATTTTTTACGTTTGGTTCAAAAATTATCATAATTCTCGAGTTTTCAAAAAATTTTAAAACATTTTAACTTTCTCGCAACCAAAAGCTACTAAAAACGGTATCAAAATACTCTTTTATTATCAGCAGGTTTAGGCGGAAAACAAAAATTAGTTTCGCCCTGCTAAAAACTACTCCCCCTCCTGCTAACAGTCCAATACCGTAAAAATTGCAAAAAAAATAATTTAAAAATACGAAATCAGCATTACAGCAATTTTTACAGGATGGCGTTGCCCCGGCTGGAAGACGATCCAACAGTTCGTGATGCCGTCCATCCTGTCCAAGATGATCAAGGTGCGCCGGGCAGTTTTTGGCAACAGGATGGCCGGCGCTTGTGTGTTACAGGGGGGGGGGGGATTAGCTTTAGAAGCATAAATTCTTTCCGAAAAAAAGCTCTTTTTTTTCGACAAGCTGATTTTTGTCAAATAACACAAATTTAGACTGTTGTCAAACTATTCCTGTGCCTAAAAACGGGGCAAATTTTCATGATAAGTTTAATTTTCGGTGGAGGGACTGATTTTTTCGACCCAAGAAAACGACCGATTTTTTTGTTTTTCAAGCGATTTTTTGTGAAACTTTGCTACCACCAAAATCGTGCAAAACGTAGGTAACGTTTGTTTGCTAAAACATTGTAAAACAGGTTAGTGTGAAGTCGAAATTGGGGTTCTGTCATTATCTCGAAAATCAACATCTCGAAAATCAACATCTCGAAAATCAGCATCTCGAAAATCAACATCTCGAAAATCAACATCTCGAAAGTTCATTATCTCGAAAGTTCATTATCTCGAAAGTTAAATATCTCGAAAGTTCATTATCTCGAAAGTTAAATATCTCGAAAGTTCATTATCTCGAAAGTTAAATATCTCGAACAGTCGAATTCTGGAAATTCAGCAACAAGGATACAAGGCTAAAGAGCTGCGTCCCGACTGCCAGGCGCAACAAGCCCTCTGCGAGAGCTATGATGCTTATGAAACCATTAACTTCGTCAAGTTAATTGCCCAGACCTTTGATTAAATGATATATTGGAATAAATGTTTTTTATTTTATTTGTGACATCAATATCGGGTTGATAACAAAAGGTGGAGTAGAATGGTAAGGACCGGGTTTCAAGTTTATGAACTTTCGAGATAATTAACTTTCGAGATAATGAACTTTCGAGATATTTAACGTTCGAGATAATGAACTTTCGAGATATTTAACTTTCGAGATAATGAACTTTCGAGATAATTAACTTTCGAGATAATGAACTTTCGAGATGTTTATTTTCGAGATGTTGATTTTCGAGATGTTGATTTTCGAGATGTTGATTTTCGAGTTAATGATAGGTAATCGTCGAAATTATGATAAAAATCATCCATTTTGGTCGAAAAATGGATCTTTTTTTTGTACTTTTCGATATAAAATCCCGACAATTCCCTTCCCCCCCGATAATGCGAAAGCACCCGTTTTTAGCAGTGGAAACGGGCGAGCGCAAGATCAAGCACATCTCTGTCAATTTCCGTGGATGCAAATTGGAGTGGAGGACAATCGATCCGTGTTTGTGGCCCCTGGGTTTCCAAGAAATCACCCGCTTTCCAGGCCTGCAAGCATTTGCGGAGAAGGTGTGCCGGGGCCATGGAGCCGAGCCGTACCGAATGCAGGGAAGCCAGTTCGGGCATCTTATCCGCAAAAACCCGACGGTGGGAAACTTTTTTTGGGCTAAACTCGGTGCTAGTGCTTTAGCGGGGGAGGCGTCTTGCAGACTGACTGCCCCCTCCGCTAACGAACCAGAACCTTAGACAATACTAGGTGTCCCCAAAAACGGTACTGGTTTCTTAGCGGGGGGGGGAGCGGAGGACCCACATTTTTCCCAAAAATTCCGAGCGGAATTAAAACCATTTTCGTCGAATTTACAATGTTTTAGCAGTACAAAATTAAACCGATTTTCGAAATTTTAGTTTTTGATTAGAATTTTAGATTTTATGAATAGTCGGAATTTTCGTAAATATCTGTTATTTGTTAAATTTTTTAATAAAAACTAGTAACGTTTTTGCCTTCGCAAATAGCAAAAAAAACAGGTCATAGACACTTTCGCCATGCGCAGGGTGTCCCAAAAAAAACCCCCCCTCGGCGTTTGGCCGTCTTCCATCCAATCGGGACCAAATTTTTACCAGTGATGGGGACCCATAAAAACTATGTGCAGCCGAATTTTCTAAGCAAAATATTGTAAAACAAAGAAGATATATCAAAATTAAGGTTTATTTTGCCGATTTGACTAGGTTTTTGACGGATTTCGGCCTCGAAATGTTTAGCAAAAATGAAGAGGACACTCTTTTCTACCTGTAGAAATTTTTTGATTTACGAAAATTACATTTAAATTGGGCCTTTTGATCACTTTTTATTATCGAAATGCCAGAAACTGACTGAGAAATGACCATTTTTTGGAAATTTACTCAAAATCCGCATGCTAATTGCGAAAACATAGCCAAAAACGAGTACCAGCGGTTTCCAAAAATCAGTTTTTTAGCGATAACTTTTTGGTTTTACAATATTTTGTTTAGAAAATTTGGCTGTACATAGTTTTTATGGGTCCCCATCACTGGTAAGAATTTGGCACCGATCCGATAGAAGACGGCCAAATGCCGAGGGGGGGTTTTTTTTTGGGACACCCTGTATATTTGAAAAATCTGTTTATAACTCCCCAGGGTAAGGGGAAAGAACCCCCAAAATCGTTAAAATCGGCACGTTTTCGGGGGACTTTGTAAATCTCGCGTTTTCAGAGCAACGAGGCGCTGCTGGTTGCAATGTTCCCGACCAAGATCCTGCTCATCACCTGCAACTACGCCATCTGCGGGTTGGGACTTTCAAATCGGCCGCTATTTCCCGTTTTAGAGAGCGCGATTGCGCGACCCGCTACGCGTACCTCCAGGCGGCTACTGACGCCGATGAGGCCATTTGGAGCGCCTTTGGTGATGAAGCGATGATGAAGGAAGAGCTCCGCTGGGATGAGACTAAGAACGACCATGCTGAGCGGAAGAAGAATGCCGATGTAGGTTAAGGGAGGGAGAGAGAGAGAGAGAGAGATATCAATGAATCCTTTTAGCCCCTAGCTGCCCGTCGTCGACGCGAAGCCTTGATGAAAGGCTGGGCCGCTACACCGCTCCACAACATGCTGTCCGCCAAAGAGCTGGCCATTGACCGAGTACGAGCTCATCCACTTTTTTTGAGAATCCATCCTTTTAGGTCATGCATGGCTTCGCCGGAAATGGTCGTTACCGGATGTACAGGGTAGTGAAAATGTTTGTTTTATGAAATCTTGTTTTTCAGGATGAACTTGACTACGAATGCGTTGATGATGGAGTGCCGAACGCCTACAAGCAGTTGCTAGACCCGCCGCGCAGCTTTTACCCGTGATTGCTTCCGGCCGAATTTTCGTTTAAAGGGAATTGTGTGTTCATGTGATTTTCTGTGCTTTTCGAATTGAAATGCGTTTTCTTGTGATGATCGGTATGATGTGTGTTGGGAATAAATTTGGCTCAAAAAATTTGGAGAATAATCGGCACCTGACACCAACAGATGTATATTGATGATTGGACCGATTCGAAAAAACAGAAAAGAAAAGTCGACCAGGATAGGTGAAACCCACGCGCGTGAGGGAGAGCGAGTGAGCGAGTGCGGGTGCGAGAGAGAAGGAGAGGAGGGAGTGAGCGAGGGACAGTGAGTGAGTGAGTGCGAACTAGAGAGAGAGAGAGAGAGTGAAAGTGAGAGAGTTAGAGAGATCGTCTTGTAGGTTTTTACCAGGGTTGAAAACCGCTACGCGGCTTTTCACCCCTGGCCCCTCCGCGGGGACCTATACACGGACACTTTGCATAGAATAATTTGGGCAGGGTTAACAACGGCCTTCTAGAAGATGTGGCTTCATCTGACGACGATCGAGAAGCTTAGACAATCAACTGCTTCCCATCTTCAAATAATACTCCGACACAAGCGAGTAATACTACGACAAAAGCCTCTTAACGATACGGTATCTGAGAGTAGTGCATGGGACTGTGTGGAAGGGGTAATAACTCTTAGCCGCTCAAACCCTTACTTGGCGCGTGACAGATCATCGAAGTAGGTCCAGACCCTTGCCTCGATTGTCTGCAGCGGATGCGTACAGGTATGTTTCATTCGCGAAAATAACGCGTCGATAATTGAGTCGGTGATGAACGCTTTGCCTGAAAGATCGACTTTGACGATGAGGCGTTTTGTGGTGATGAGAACAAATGAAAACGTTGCTTATCTCGATCGCCTATAGAACTGCGTCTTCAAATTATCGAAACATGGCGAAAATGTCGAAAACCAGCATTTTGTCCCCATTTAAAAAGTTGCTTTGCTTTTTGCTACCATGTTTTATTCATTTTAGCGACGAGTGGATAGTTTCTCATCCATTTTCACAAAAAAACGAAAATTTTCAACACAGTGTATGATGTTTTTATAAAATCCTTGGCACCCGCTAACAGTCCATAAGCGACGTAAAACGGTGTACAATCTGTAAAAATAGCAAATGGTTGACAAGCAAACTGGCACGTGGTGATAGAAAAAATTGCCCGCCCCGCCTTCCCAAAACAATCGCCCTCCCAAAAAACCGGAAGCACTGAACAGTGATTTGAATGTCGGGCTTGTTTGTCGGGATTTTGAACGTCGGGATTGTGATTGTGAGGACTTTGAATGTCGGGATTTTGGTTCTCGGGTTTTTTGGATGTCGGGCTTTTGGCGTTTTCCCGATACATCGGCACGCGTTCACAACCCATTCTGCTACTAATGACGGATGCGCCGAACAAACAAACATTCTTTTTTGACGGCGCGGTGAAATTAAAAGTCGACCTTTGGGGTATCGAAGTTACCTGTCTCAATAAAAACGAGAATGCTTCAGAAAAGAGGAAATGTGTGTGAGTCAAATCGATTGTTTGGGACCGCGGGGATTATATCTCGTAATGCTCGGTTGGGCGCTCAATTCTTCTATCTTGGTGGTTCTCGAGCTAATTTGCAATGAAAAAACTAAAATTATTACAATCGTGTGAGGATCTCAGAAATGACGCCGGAATTTTCCAGGTCCTGCTTAAACCGGGACAAAAAAAAACATGAGGCGCGCTCGCGTTGCGATCGCAACTGGCCATCTGCCAGCAATCAACGCCGACTGGCATGGACCTTTTTCGCGTCCTTGCCCCTTTAAAAAGGCCGCTTGCGTGCGACCCGAACAAGGCTTGGCACAGTTTTTCGACCCTTTTTTATGACGCCATCTGAAAGAGCGGGATCGAATTTTAATGGTTTAAATTAAGTTGGTTGGGATGGTTATAAAAGTTTCAACAGTTAAATTTTTAGGTTAAAATTTTTTCGCTCTCGTCAAAAACCGACGCCATCTGCAAACTGATTGGTGGCGTTTCAAGGCCGCAGAACGATCCCGATGCAATACGAGCTTCGATCTTCCGTCGCGCCGCGCATTGCAATGTCGCAAAAAGTGCTGATTACACCAAATAATTTATTCCATCAAAGTTTATTCTTTATTCCATCAAAAGCTAGTCAGAATGCGAGATGTCGTTGAACATGGTGGCGAAAATTCGATCACGCCAATCCTGCATCTCAGATTGACGGACGATCCAAGACTTCTTCTGCACGAGCACCGACGCGAGGGCACACGTAAACGCCTCATGTCCTTGGTGCCGTCCTCTTGCGGGGTATCCTAAACGGTACATATGGAATTGCTATGCTTTGCCCATCCGTTAAAGTTATATTTGTTGTAGCTAAACAATGGCGGTCGTTCTCGGGCCTTACTTAACATGGTGGCTTTTTAGGGTCTGATTTTACGCAATTCAAAGTTGAGCACCTGCTAAAGGATGCTGCTCTTCGGGACACCCCGCATTTGAGCAAGACGATTCTGGTCTGTTAGCGGGGGGATTTTAATGAGGGGAGAAACCAAGTTTTTCCCCAGTAATTCTCGAAGGTCCTATAACTAGTTATACACCAATTTTATATTTTACATTTTACATAGTGTTATTTAAAATACAATCCAGTATTTTCAAAAAAGATAAAAAAATTTCGATATTTTTCTGCTTTTGGTAATTTATGGAAAAGGACCAAAAAACCAAAATTTTTAAATTTTTGTCGTGCTTTCTAGCAATGGAAAATTGCGAAGCGCTATAAAAATTCAGGGCGCACCAGAACCCCCTCCCCAGCCCTACCTAGTGGTCCGGAGAAAGCTTACTTAGATTTAGATGGTTTCTACACCCTTCGAAACCCCTTGAAAAGGCGATAAAACAAGCGGGTTTCGTTTCTATAAGCTAGTCAGCATTTTTTTTGATATTAAGCGTTTGGCTAAAAAACGCGTGTTTTTCTGTGTCTTTCCGTCCCTTTGACTCCCCCCGTTAACAGTCCAGGACCAGAATCGTTTCTATCGGTGCATCATCCCGGAACGGAGATTATAATGGCTGGGTAGGCGGCTTATGCTAGAGAAAGGCTTGCTTTGGCGTTGAGTGGGCTGAGTTAAGTAAAGTATAAAGTTTATAAATTGCGACGTTGGGCAAGAGGAGAAGAAAAAACTCGTCAAGCAAACCGACCACCGAATAACGCTGGTACCATTCTCTCTCGGTGTTCGAAGTCAACTTGCTGATGCGCTTCACCGCATCTTTGATCATTCTTCTGTATTGATCACAGGACTCATCCTTGTAGAGCAAGTCCGTGAGCTCGACCACTCCTCGCTCAAGATCAAAGTAGAGCAGAAACCAGTGGTGGTCTTCCTGCAAGAGCACGCCATTCTCGTTGACGATCGGGAGCGCGCTAAAACTCTTTATTAATGGCCATTGCCTCTTTTTGCGAAAAAATTGATGACAAAACAAAAAATGAAAAAAATTTAGGCTTGTTCAACAGGTTTCTACTGTTTTGAGAGTTTTTTCTAATATAGTACGTAAAAATCGGGTTCGATTCTGACGATTGGTGTAGCTACCCAAAGCTCGGAACGACACGAAAAAAGCTGTTTTTCGGTTTTCAAATAAAGCATCGGAATTCGCCGCTTCACGCATTTTGAAAAACCGGCCAAAACCCTCACCCTTTGGCTTCATAATTCTCGAAGTTGCTCCAAGCATCGGAGGCGATTGTCTGCACCCTATCTGGGTAGTCAGCCCTCAGTTGAGTAAAGAAGGTGTTGACAATCGGGGCGGTGATCGCGTTGCCGGCTGAAATATTCAGGCTTATGAGGAGTTTTTCAATACGATAACGGCCAAAAACCGCGCTCCGGTTTTGCGAGCGCTGGTATCCTACCTTATGTAATTTTGGGGTGTATCTTTGTATATGTGGATGTCAGTTTCGGGTCTCGATTTGAGCGCCTTCCAGTGTATAAAACGTCTTAACTCTCCGTTACTTGGAGGAATATACCCCTCTGTTTCCAATGGCGCTTTCAGAATTTCGATAAAATACGAGTTTACAAAGTTAAAGCAGTTTTATTCATCGTAATGGTCCTGAGGGCTAATTTGCATAATCCAAAAATAGAAATTTATTCATTCTTGCTAGTTGAACTCGTGTGTGCGGTCGGGGGAAGGGATGAGCCCGAAGGACCCCGGCTATCGGAAAGGCAAATTCCTCATTCAAAGGCTGTATTTCAGCGCGCAAGGCCCGTGAAGCGGGTTTCGGGCGCTGGTTAGGATAAATAAACTTCTTACCTCTACAGAGGGCCTAATAAGAAGCACCGCCACTCCAACTCGACGCAGAATTATCGGAACGAGAGGCTAGTTACACCATTTGAAAGCCCTTGAAACGGCAACTTTGCAACAATCTTCAAGACCTTATTTTCAATGCGCCATTTTACAACGCATTTTGTCAAAGTTTTGCGGCTTTTCGAAGCGTATGAGCTCTTTTGCCTGAAATTTCGCAAGCAAAACGATCGGAAGTAGCCGTTAATTAGATCCAGAGGCCTTCCTTGATGTTTTTACATGCGTTGAAAAATCGCGGATTTAGATAAAAATTCAGTTCTGATTCAAGATTCTGATTCATTCATTCTGATTCTGATTCTGATTCAAGTTCTGATTTGTTAGCTGGGAGAGAATTTTTTGTCCATAGCTGCTCTTGTCCGAAATTACATGATTTTTAGTTGTATATGAAACTGTTATGTTTTTTGATGCTCTATAGGATAATGTTAAAAGAATGTCGCATAATATTGAAAATCCCAACGCTGCTATCAGATAGACTGCTTCGACTCAATTATAGCATACCATCAAACCAAACGGACAGTTTTTTTTCCGTTCCACCAACCTTTCGAAGGCGGCTTCTCGTCTCGCAACGTTTACGCGCATACACCAATCGAGAGCTAAACGTAAGACAAGTTACACTGCAAGTCGCGTACAAACTTATCAACAGCTCACCCGACCTTATAAAATTTTGGACCTTCGGTTTTGCAAAAACTACGGTACTCATAGGATGGCGAGGATACTTCCGTTGTAAGGCGGGATTCCAGCGCCCGGCTCAAGTCTAGGAAACCCCCCCCCCTCAGCCGGCTTTTCAACTTTTCTACCTTCCTTATTTTTATTTTTCGCTACTTTTTCGACTGAACTGCAATGTAGTCTTACTAATTAGCCTACGGCGAACATTTTGGTATACTTTAGAGCTCGCTAGCACAAAAGGGGGCCGAGATACAAAAGTTGGTGCCGGCTGGGGGGGTTTCTAGACTCTTACCCCAGCGCCCTATATAAAAAACACGACAAATATCTCACTTTTCTTGATGAGGTCTGCAAAAGAAGGCGGATCCGCCCTGATTCGCTTTGGGGCAATGTTGTCGGCCCCGTCTTCGGCGTTCCATTCCGTATTCTGGGCTCTTTTTCGCCTAAAGCTCAGTTCAGAGCCTTGTTCATTAGACCCAGGGCCGTAACAAACCCAAATTTCGGGGGGCGACCCCAAAAATTTTTCACTAATATGACTAAAACTACAGCGCCGCAGGCAAAATTTTTGAAAACATAGGGTTTATAACACTAAATTTTTGAATTTTTTGGAAAATTTCAATCATAAGGGTCCCCCCTTATGAACTTTTCGGCCTTCGACCGATTTCGGGGCGGCGCGGCTCGCCCCCTCGCCCCCTCTTACGGGCCTGATTAGACCTACCCCCTTTCCTCCTGCATCCCGGCGCCGGTGCTGGATCCGGTGTTGAGCATGTCTTGAACTGCATCCGGTCTAGCTGTCCCGCTGCATCGGCTCGTCTTCCGCAGCCATCCTCCATGAGTTTCGCCCTGCGGAAATAATACCGCAAATGTATCGATTAGAACGGGCGGTAATTTATTGTAATAGAAATACTCAAATTAAATTCGAGATTGAGATTCAAAAGCCAGAGGGATGGGTGATAGACAAGTGAGAGAAAGAATGGGAGACAAAGAGAGGGCCAGCGAAAAAGCGAAAGCGAGAGAGAGAGAGAGAGACCGAGAGAGAGCCTGAGAGAGCGTGAGAGAGACAAAGAGAGAGACAAAGAGATACATAGAAAAGAGAGAGACAAGAGATACAGAGAAAGAGATACAGAGAAATAAAGAGAGAAAGAGAGAAAGAGAGAGAGAGAGAGAGAGAGAGAGAGAGAGAGAGAGAGAGAGAGAGAGAGGGAGAGAGAGGGAGAGAGAGGGCGAGCGAGAGCGTGAGAGAGACAAAGAGAGAGACAAACAGATACAGAGAAAAGAGAGAGACAAAGAGCTACAGAGATGACAGATAGAGAAAAAGATACAGAGAAAGAAAGATCGAGCGAGATCGAGAGAGAGAGAGAGCGAGAGAGAGAGAGCGAGATGGAAAGAACGAGAGCGAGCGAGAGAGAGCTAGAGAGAGTGAGAATGAGAGGGAGAGGCTTGCTTTACCATGAATATAGTGATTGTCGCGAGTATCAAAAAATTTATTTTATCACAATAACTAGTCGCCGGTCCTTCAGCTCTGGTTGTTAAGGTGTCACTTTGTGCTGGACGATCGCGATGAGTAGAGTCGTATTTCTTGGAGCCGATCGCTTGATCGCCTACCTAAAAGTAAGAGCTTAAATAGGAACTCTGGGCTGGGGTTTCAACACAATCTACGTCGCAAAAAGGGCAATCTCATCATTTTCAGGTATTAAAAGAGTCGAAATTGATCAAAATCGATGGAGTTTGGCGTATTTTCGGTCTTTTGGGCGGCCAACTAAACATAACGCCCTCTCAAATATAATTCTACTTGGGGAAAATTCAGTAAAACGGCAGAAACTCTAAGATTCGATTAAAGGAAGTTCGGTAAGTCCTGTTTAGAGCTATAGCACCCACCTACTTGGCATCTAGAAAATTCCTTGAGCTCGTCGCACATGAGTTTGAAGGTTCAAGCCAGCCACCTGAAGTGAAAGATTAAATTCGAAATATGATACGATATACCTTTAGATGAGCGCGCACGAATCCATGCTGCTGATGTAGATATTGGTGGATTGGGTCGCCCAGCGTAGCATGATGGTCGTCGAACGCAATCTTGTGCGACGTTGCCTTCGCACCGAATAGGTACTGCTGAACGAATCCGTTTGTTAAAATTAAGTTAAAATTAAGTTAAATTAAGGATTTATCAATATTGGGCTGATATAGGGTCTAGCTTGCAACTCGCAAGAGCAGTTTGTCAGCTTAAACTGGCTGCAGTTCTGCTTGGGCATTGGTTCCATTGAAGCTCTGAGGGCTAGGCGTGGCTTGCAAGCAGGGCCGTAACAAACCCAAATTTCGGGGGGGGCTACCCCAAAAATTTTTCACAAATATGACTAAAACTACAGCGCCGCAGGCAAAATTTTTGAAAACATAGGGTTTATAACACTAAAACTAGTGTTAAAAATTGATAAAAACAGCGCCGCAGGCAAAAAAATTTTTGGAAAAATTAAATCATAAGGGTCCCCCCTTATGAACTTTTCGGCCTTCGGCCGATTTCGGGGGCGGCTCGCCCCTCGCCCCCCTCTTACGGGCCTGCTTGCAAGGGGGGAGTGGAGGTTGGACTTTGTAATGCCAGATAGTTTACCTTCGCCCAAAATTCAATTGGACAAAAATGCTGTTTTAGCTGTAGCTTTCGATGTAGTAACATTGAAAAAATGTTTTGGCACCAAAGATAAAGCAGAATAGTGAATTTCAGCGGCGTTTTGGACCAAAACTGGGATTTTCGCGCTTAAAATATCGAATATCTTGCCAAAAATATGGTGAAGGCAAAAACTGACTCCAGATTCGTAATCGGCGTAAAAAACTTGTGGAACTAGAGGAACTATCTGTCATTAAAACTCCAACTTCCACTTCGCTACCTTCCCTTGTTAGCTTTTCCAGAAGCTTAAAGCTTAAAAACGAAGCTTGAAGCAGCTTGCAATCAAAGCCGAGACAAATTTTTTTCAAAATGGCATTTTGGGTTTGAAAAATTCTAAAAATGTTATGTTCAAGCTTCGCATTGGGATCCTGAGCAATTGTGCGCATAAGCTCCGAAAAATCGGTATAATTGCTGAAAACGATGCGGCTGCCGTATTTCGCTTAAGATCAGGGGTTGCCTTGCGTTGTAAAAATCTTGGAATCAACGTATTTCTGGAGATGTTTGCTAGGGAGGTGAATTTCTGGGGGAAAGCAGAGTTGCCCATAATTTTAATATGATAGCTAGGGTCGATTCCCACAAAAACCCAATGAAAGGAGGAAATAAATTTCGGTCTAACTCGTGAAATGGACTTACCCATCACGATTGTGACCTCGGTCAACGCCCTGGCTCGGTCGATGTTCAGGGAAATTAGTCCACTGTAGAGGCATTCGTGACGTTTCAGCTAAACCGGAAATTTGAAAAATTAGATCCTAAGAAAAAGTTGGATCCACACCCCGATACACTTATGCGCGTTATGTTGTGCACCAACAAATGTAATAATAACTAGTAATAATTTAGCTTTGATAATAAAAATATGATTTTTTTCAATCATTAAGCCAGTTTTTAGTGTGATGCACGTCAGAAGTCTAGTTCTATAGAATTGTAGAAGCTTCTTTCAATGATTCATTATAGACTGATTACGGTCATTACGATCGCCTTTATGCAAATTATGACACATTTTCTACACTATTTGACAACCACAAAAGGCGGAAAACTTGGGCTGGCTGAAAACTCGGATTAACCTGCTTCTTGCATCTTCTAGCTTATCTCACTTTAACTTGCTTACTTACAAGCCAGCGAAACGTCTTGGCAAATGATTGAATATGATAGAAAACGTCCTACCTTCACGTGATTGCTCATCACGTATTCGCTGTATTTGTAGTCCGCGACCTGCTGCTCCTTTTCGTCTTTTCCAGCGGCTTGTTCGGCAATCTTTTTCCAGCACTGCCGCTTCATACCCTCTCTGTTTGGGCTTCTGCTCCTCGAGCCCTCGCGCTGAAAAACGGATAAAGCCTAACGGGAATTGACCAGGAACCAAAATCCATCTTAGCCTATGTGGAGGGCTTCGACCCGGTATAGAATGGAATTATGCACAACTAAACAAGTGAACACCAACCTTTGATCGGTGAGTTGCCGGGGCTTCCGACAGAACGGTGGCCATAACCGCTGACTTGGCCTTTTCCTTATCCATTGTGGCCAGAGCATCGTCGGCGACCGATTCCTGGGATGCAGCGCTCCTGTCCCTCAACGGCTCCGCAACTTCGGGCATTTCAACGTCCATCTCGAAGTTCAGATCGGCTAAGGCGTCTGCCGCGCCTGCCACGGCTTTTTCTGGCATTTTTTCTTTCGCTTCCCCATCTTCAAACATCGCGGCGAAAAGGCGTTTTCGCCAGTCCTTCATCTCCTCCTCCTTCTGTTGCTGGTACCGGAGCTTAGGCTGGAGGATATTCGAGGCGTAGGCGCACACGAACACGCCGCAGTCGCTCGAGTTTTTCTGCCCGCCTACCTAAACGCACAAGTAAGAAAGCTCGAATCATATGCATATCTGCATGGTATTGATCAAGATAGGTGGGGTTGATCGTTGATTTTGGGTATTTCGGTGGTTCGGAACAATATCCTTTTAAGAAAGCACCCTAACACCTCCCCCCCACTCCGGGCCAATCATCAACTATAAGAAAAAAGTAGTAGTATCCGTCTGTCTGAAGCCGAATTCAACTCGAAGGGGAGAGGAGCTAGAGCTTAGGTCTCTTCGGATTCGGATAGAGCGTGGTCAGAGACCCCCAAACTGATGAAAAAAATCATGGAAAAGTTTTCGATTAAATTATTAAAATTAACTTTGAAAGTTTTTCCTTGGTAAAAGGGGTGGGGGACGGATCTTTGCGCGGTTTCGGACATAGTGAGCCAGGTGGCGCGCGTTTCGGCGAGGGGGAGGAAGCGAATGGGGTAGCCCGAAGTCCAGCCGCCAGTAAGCGGCTGGTCATAGAAGAACCCGGTATGTTACGAAAAGAATGTAATGGCACAAAATGTTTGCCTTGCACAGCGGCATAGCGATTAATTAAGTTTGCGGTAGATTTAGAAGAGGGAAGAGGGCCAACGTGTGCGGAGGATGCAATGCGATTCAACGCGTTTCGTAATTTTTGAAAGAAGGCCTGTTGGCCCCAAAAAAATGTTGCTATAAGCTGATGACTTAGCATATTAAACGCGGCAAATCTTGTACAGTACGTCTTTTCCGAGCCCACCTGGACATTTGGCTATTTGTAAGTCACGGGAAAGCTAAAAAATCCAGCAAGCAAACCGACCGGGTTGATGAATTGCCGCCATTCGCGCTGGGATGTCAAATTGTTGACGTGCTTCATAGCGTTGCCGAACAATATTTTGCGCCTGGCATCCCTTTCTTCGCGCTCCTTCTTTTCGCAGGGGGCATCGATGATGGAGTCGTAGAGCTCGAACAGGCTCTCCTCAAAATCCACGATGAGCAGGTACCAGTGCGAGTCTTGGCACACTGGCCAGAATAGCTTCCCCTTTTCCTTGATGGCTCTTGACGCTCGGAGCTCGGCACGGTTCTTGCTGAAAAGGTCATTATTCCGCTCTGACATCAAGACTGTTTTCAGATTATATACGTAGTTAGTTAATTCTTTAAACGAAATGGGCAAAACAGATAGAAGCGAGAGCTGGACGCGGGAGCTAAATTGTGAGCCTCTCTCAAGAGCAGGATAGGCAGCGCGATATTTAGATCTCCTGCAAAGCCAAGGCTTTTGTGTCGGGCTCTTTTGCAAAAGAGCGGCAGCTGAACCCGGGTGCTGCGAATTAGATAGTTTGTCTGGAACGCAAAAGGCAGACATGGCAATTCCGGGCGGCCGGGCCCCGGGGCCGGGCCTGTAATCTAATTTGCATGAAAAAATCCCCCGCTTCCGGGCCCCGGAAAAATATGCAAATTCGCGGGGCCGAGCCCGGGCCCGGCCGAACTTTTCCGGGGCCGGGCTCGGCCGATTCGGCTCGGCCCCGGAAACTAAAGTACAGTAACGGACAAAAGTTTATCACCCTCGTTTTTCGGACCTTCTAGAGCGATTTCCCGGAAATCCCCGGCCATAAGACTTCCAATTTACAATTGACTAGATGTAAAATTACACGCTGATTCCGAATTTGACACTTTTAGAGCCGAAAAATTTGATTTTAAGGGTCAAAATCGCGAATAACTTTTTACCCTAAAACACGGTCAAAAACAAACTTTTTTTCTGTGATGTTTTCGAGGTGCGCCATTGTGATATTCGGAATCTCCGATGTCAAATTAGCCGGAATAAGTGTTTGCCGGATTTTTATTGGGTGTCTAGATACCATTTCCGGAAATCGATCAGTTAGCCTTCGACGGGCCTTTAAAAGATATTTTTGGCGTATTTCATTAGCTGGTCCGGATTCTACAGGGTCGATTACATCAGGAATAGTGTGTTTAGAATGCGAAGAAAACCAAATGATTTTTCTAGAAGCATTTGCTTAGAAAGCGCACCCGGGAAAGGTCGAGTTGAAAGAAGGAGGGCTCGAAACAGGTCAAAAACGATTTTTCGCGGGTTTCTTTTGTATCACATCGGAAAGAGCACTATCGAATGTGTAGGAAAATATTGTTTATGGTACGAAACGGAGACTTTCATTTTTGGCCATTTTGTTAAGCGAAATCGCAGGACCGGGGGCCACATTTTTTCGGTCGTCGACGACAATTCTTCTTATTAATTTTCGCGACTGTTGGAATCGCTGAAAAATTTGGAACGGATGTATCTTGGGTAGTTCGATAGCGTAGATTCCGAATTTTCCAACGAAAAGTTGCGAAAATGTCAGATTAAAAAGTTAGCATTTTTTGGTTTTTGGGTTTCTGGAGACTTCCGATCAATCAATCTCGGATAGTTGAGCACATTTTGTTTATTGAACAATATTTTTCTACACATTCGATAGTGTTCTTTCCGATGTGATACAAAAGAAACCCGCGAAAAATCGTTTTTGACCTGTTTCGAGCCCTCCTTCTTTCAACTCGACTTTTCCCGGGTGCGCTTTCTAAACAAATGCTTCTAGAAAAATCATTTTGTTTTCTTCGCATTCTAAACACACTATTTCTGATGTAATCGACCCTGTAGAATCCGGACCCGCTAATGAAATACGCCAAAAATATCTTTTAAAGGCCCGTCGAAGGCTAACTGATCGATTTCCGGAAATGGTATCTAGACACCCAATAAAAATCCGGAAAACACTTATTCCGGCTAATTTGACATCGGAGATTCCGAATATCACAATGGCGCACCTCGAAAACATCACAGAAAAAAAGTTTGTTTTTGACCGTGTTTTAGGGTAAAAAGTTATTCGCGATTTTGACCCTTAAAATCAAATTTTTCGGCTCTAAAAGTGTCAAATTCGGAATCAGCGTGTAATTTTACATCTAGTCAATTGTAAATTGGAAGTCTTATGGCCGGGGATTTCCGGGAAATCGCTCTAGAAGGTCCGAAAAACGAGGGTGATAAACTTTTGTCCGTTACTGTAGCTCATTTGCGTCTAAATTCCGATGCTAAAATGCAAATTTGCAATGAAAATTTAAAGTGCGTGGGGCCAGTTAGGACATCGGTCTTGGTAAATTCATTGAACTTGTTTAATAATTCGTCCCAACAATCAATGAGTACTAAAATACGGGTCTGAACCTGTTCTGATCTGGCTGGAGGTGTATGGCAACCTTGGAAAATAGAATTGTTTCGAATTTGCATGGATATTTTGACTGAAAGTGATTTACAACCGGCATTTCTGATTAGCGTGCGGCCTTGCGGCCCCGGGCTCGGCCCCTATTTTGGCTTATCCCGGGGCCGGCGAGAAAAGCCGAGCCCCGGCCCCGCCGGATGTGGGGCCGAGCCCCGTCGGCCCGGCCGCATGCAAATTTCTGGGGCCGAAAAAGCCCGGGGGCCGAGCCCGTTGCCATGTCTGGCAAAAGGTAATGAAAAAGAGGCATGTGGATTGAATTTTCATTGGAATTTGTCCGGGACCGGGCTCAAGGGCCGGAGATGGGCGGGTCTCAATATTTCTCTCCTGTTCATGAGCGTGGCTCACAATTCAGCGCTCTTTTTCGTTTTCGTTTTCGTCTTTGCGACCACCTACTTTTTTGTATGGGAAATGGTAAAAAAATACATAAATAAAATGGTAAAAAAAATACAAACGTAAATGATCGTCGATAGGTAGTAGTGCATTAATCAAATACAGGGTGTCCCAAAAAAAGACCCCCAAAAATTTGAGCCAGAGGGCACCTACGGAGCTGAAAATTTGCACAGGGATAGCGAAGCCAATTTCCCATGTTTATGGAAAGTTTCAGCCCGATCGGTCGGCTAGTTTTAAAGTTATAGCGAAAATACTTTTTGTTTTTAATTTAGGTTCTGTTCTATTTCGCGTGGGGGAAAAACTGTGCGGGGGGGAATATGCTTCGCGGAACCTTCCATCTTTTCGCTATTTTCTCGGGATTTTTGCAACGCCATTCGATAGAGCATCAAAAAATATACTAAGAGTTTTTGTTTTAGCTAAAAATATTGTAATATAAAAAAGTTATAGCAAAACAAAAAAAAACTATTGAAACTGATTCCGGAATGTTAGTTTTCGTCATTTTCGCCAGTTTTTCGATATTTTGAACCCGTTATTCGATAGAGCATCAAAAAATATACTCAGAGTTTTAATTTCATCTTAAAATATTGTTTTATAAAATAGTTATAGCAAAAACAAGGTTTATTCGGTGTTTCCACATGGGATCGTGGAGTCGAAAGCTAGTTTTCGACATTTTCGATAACTTTCAAAAATTTCTTTAATGCTATTTGATAGAGCGTGAAAAAATATACTAAGAGTTTTAATTACAATTCAAAATAGCATCATATAAAAGAGTTATAAAAAAAACGAAGAAAATCCCCCCCGCACAGTTTTTCCCCCACGCGAAATAGTAATATACAATTAAACCTTAATTTAATATGGGGATCTACGCAATTTTCCTCAAAAATATGCGTTTTGTTTGCATTTACGAGCCGATTTTGCATAAATTTCCCCAAAAAGTGTCAGTTTCTTGCTGGAGCATGGAGAAAACGCTTGCGTACCAAGAGTAAAAAGCATGTGAAAACATCGGTTTTATCGATCCAAACTACGCCTTATTGCGAT